GACCAGCGTGCCGGCCTGGTCCGAGATGCAGGGATGCACCTCGTGCGAGCCGGAAAAGCCGGCGTCGTAATAGGCGTCGGGGGCCAGGTCGCGCATCCGCCACAGCCCCGGGCGCAGCGGCTGCGCGATACAGGCCGCATAGAACGGGTCCAGCTGATAGGCGCCGCGCAGATAGGACCGCAGCGCCCGGCGGTCCACCGTCTCGCTGTAGCCGTCATGGATCACCACCGGGGGGCGGGTCGCCGAAAAGCCGAAGATGCAGCTCATGTCGAAACCGGCGCCGATCCGGGTCAGCCGGTCCAGCGCCGCGCCATAGCCGGATGTGCCGACAGACGCGAACAGCCCGGCGACCGCCTGCGCCGTCCGCGCGCCGATCATATGACTTTCGCCATATGGAATTTCCACCCCACCTCCCTAGGCTTTTCCCATCCGGCCATGGGAGAGACCGGACCCTTTGGCCATTCACACGGGAAAACGGCCGGGCGCGCAAGCCCGGCAAGGGAGGATGACGTGACAGGACGTTTGCAGGGCAAGACCGCCCTTATCACTGGCGGGGCTGGCGGCTGCGGGCTGGCCGCATCAGAACGCTTCGCGGCCGAGGGCGCGCGGGTCGGCATCGTGGACCTGCCGGCAAGCCAGGGCGAGGCGGTGGCGCAGCGCCTGCGCGACGCGGGGCATCAGGCGATCTTCGCCCCCGCCGACGTGTCCGACGCGGCGCAGGTGGCCGGCGCGGTCGCGGCGGTCGAGGCGGCCTTCGGCCCGGTCACCGTGCTGATGAACCACGCGGGCATCCTGGCCGCCCTGCCCTTCCTGGACACCAGCGAGCAGGAATGGGACCGCGTCATGGCGGTGAACGTGAAAAGCATGTTCCTGGTCACCAGGGCGGTGCTGCCCGGCATGATCGCGGCGGGCGGCGGCAGCGTGATCTGCACCTCGTCGATCTCGGCCGTGGTCGGCACACCGATGGAGGTGCTGTACTGCACCAGCAAGGGTGCCTGCCACATGTTCGCCCGCGCCCTGGCCGTCGAGTTCCGCGACCGCGGCATCCGCGCGAACGCGATCTGCCCCGGCTTCATCGCCACCGCCCATGGCCTGCGCGAGATCGAGATGCTGGGCAAGCAGGGCGTCGATGTATCGGAAAGCATGATTGCCGCCGCCCAGGGCCGGCTTTGCCGCCCCGAGGAGGTCGCGAGCGCCGCATTGTTCCTGGCCAGCGACGACGCCAGCTTCGTCAACGGCGCCCATCTATTCGCCGACAACGGCTACACCGCGATCTGAACCGGAACCAACAGGGAGAATGACGCCATGAACACCGCGTCGCACGGCATGACCGTCAACGATTTCGGCCTGGAGCACGCGCATTGGCGCAACTGGGTCGGCAACCAGTCCTGCGTCCGCGCCGCCCGCGCCGCCCCCGCCAGCGAGGACGAGCTTTGCGCCCTGGTCGCCGGCGCCACCGCCAAGGGCATGAACGTCCGCGTCGCGGGCTCGGGCCACAGCTTCACCCCGGTCGCGCTGACCAGCGGGCTGCACCTGACCCTGGCCGGCATGAAGGGCGTCAAGCACATCGACCGCGAGCGGCGGCGCGTCACCGCCTCGGCCGGGACCACGATCAACGAACTGGTCAAGGTGCTGAAGGCCGAGGGCCTGTCGATGATCAATCAGGGCGACATCGACAGCCAGGCCATCGCCGGCGCGCTGACCACCGGCACGCATGGCACCGGCGCGACCCTGCCGGTGCTGGCCGATGCCATCGTCGGCATGAAGCTGGTGCAGCCCGACGGCTCGATCCTGGTGGTGGACGAGACGACCCCGGACCTGCTGCTGGCCGGCCGGGTGTCGCTGGGCGTTCTGGGCGCGATTTCAGAAATGACGCTGCAACTGACCGACAGCTATCGCCTGCGCGAACGCATTTGGCGCGAGGATTTCGAATCCGCCATGGAGATGCATGACGAACTGGCCGAAAAGCACCGGCATTTCAGTTTCTTCTGGTGCCCTTACGAGGAAAGCCGGCATTGCTATTGCCTGCCCGACACGGCTGCGACCTCGACATCCGGCCGCACCACCGACGTCTGCGAGATGAAGGTGATGGACATCACCGAGGAGGAGCCCTTCGAGGCCGAGTTCGAGAAGGTCGCCTACAGCGCGGACGTCTATCCCATCGAATATGTCGCGAACTTCCACGAACTGGAATATGCCGTGCCGCGCGAACACGGCAAGGACGCGGTGCGCGCCGTGCGCCGGCTGATGCTCGAGGATTTTCCCGAGGCGATCTATCCCATCGAATACCGCTTCACCGCCGGGGACGAGGCCTGGATGAGCCCGTTCCATCGCCAGGACAGCGTGACGGTCTCGGTCTCGGGCGAGCCGGGCAAGGACTACTGGGACTATCTGCGCGCCGTGGACCGCATCCTGCGCGGCTATGGCGCCCGGCCGCATTGGGGCAAGATGCATTTCCTGACCGGCGAGGACGTGACCGCGATCTATCCCAGGGCCGAGGATTTCCGCGCATTGCGCCGCAAGCTGGACCCGCAGGGCGTCTACCTGAACGACCATCTGTCGCAGCTGTTCCGCTGACGGCGCCGGCGCGGGCGGGGCGGGAGGCCCGCCCCTCAACCACAAGGGAGGACACATCATGGCCCAGATCGGGACATTCGTCATCTACATCATCATGATCTGCGCGGTGATCGGGGCCATCGCCTCGATCGTCGACAGCGACAGCCCGCTGGGGCGCGAGTTCAGCGCCGGGCTGCATGCCATCGGCTACATCTTCATCCCGGTGGCGGGGATCATGGCCTCGATCCCCTATCTGTCGGCCTTCGTCGACGCGGTGGCGGGGCCGCTGTTCCATGCGGTCGGCGCCGATCCGGCCATGGCCGCGACCTCGATCATCGCGGTGGACATGGGCGGCTACCAGCTGGCCAAGGCGCTGGCACAAAGCCAGGAGGGCTGGATCATGGCCTCGGTCACCGGCTTCATGGCCGGGGCGACGATCATCTTCACGATCCCCGTGGGCCTTGCCATGCTGGACAAGGACGACCACCAATACATGGCCGTCGGCATCATGTGCGGCGTGCTGGCCATTCCCGTCGGCGTCCTGGTGTCCTGCCTGGCGCTGGGGGTCATGGGCATCGCCGTCCGCCCCGAGATCGCCGCCACCGGCGAGGCCACCCATGCGCTGGCGATGAACACCCTGCAGGTCATGCGCAACATCGCGCCGCTGATCGTCTTTTGCCTGGTGCTGGCGACCTGCCTGAAGCTGTTTCCCAGGGCGATGATCCGGCTGTTCCTGGGCTTCGGCCGGGTGATGTATGCCGCGATCACGCTGGTCCTGGTGTTCTCGATCGTCGAGTATTTCACCGGCTTCTTCACCCGCGTCTTCGGCCATTGGGGCTTCGCCCCGATCATCGCCGATGCCGAGGACCAGTTCCGCGCGCTCGAGATCGCGGGCTATATCGGCATCATGCTGTGCGGCGCCTTTCCGATGGTCTGGCTGATGAACCGCTTTTTGCAACGGCCCATGCAATGGGTCGGGGCGCGGCTGGGCCTTTCCTCGGCGGGCACGGCCGGGCTGCTTGCGGCGGCGGCGAACGTGCTGGCCATGTTCCGGCTGGTCAAGGACATGCCGCCGCGCGACAAGGTCCTGGTCATTTCCTTTGCGGTCTGCGGCGCCTTCATGTTCGGCGATCACCTGGCGTTCTCGGCCAATTTCCAGCCGACGATCATCCTGCCGCTGCTGCTGGGCAAGCTGGCAGGCGGCATCGCCGGCTTTGCCATCGCGATGCGGCTGCAGGGCCAGGCCCGGGTTGCGGCGGCCGAGGCGGGCTAGCGCCCGCCCCACGCAAAATCCCCCGGCAGGGCCAAGGCGTTTCCTGCCGGGCGACGAAATACGCGGCCCCCTTTCGGCCCGCCACGCCGGCGTTGCCTTCGGCCGGCCGAAGGGTTATCTTTCGCTCCAGCCGCGACCGAAAGGACTAGACCTTGCGCGATCTTCGGATGCCAGACCAACGCCATCCCGAAAAGGCCCATCGGCCCGATCAGGAACAGCCAAAGAAACCGTCCTGGATCCGCGTCAAGGCGCCCACTTCGGAAGGCTACAAGCAGACCCGCGACCTGCTGCGCGAAAACCGCCTGTCCACGGTCTGCGAGGAAGCCGGCTGCCCCAACGTCGGCGAATGCTGGAGCCAGGGCCACGCCACCATGATGATCATGGGCGAGATCTGCACCCGCGGCTGCACCTTCTGCAACGTGGCGACCGGCAAGCCCAACGCGCTGGACGTGTTCGAACCGGGCCGCGTGGCCCATGCGGTGCACAAGCTGGGGCTGAAGCATGTCGTGATCACCTCGGTCGACCGCGACGACCTGGACGATGGCGGGGCCGAGCATTTCGCCCAGACCATCCGCGCGATCCGCCACCGCTCTCCGTCCTCGACGATCGAGGTGCTGACGCCCGACTTCCTGAAGTCGAAGCCCGGCGCGCTGGAAACCGTGGTCGAGGCGCGGCCCGACGTCTTCAACCACAACCTGGAAACCGTGCCGGGGCTTTACCCCGAGGTGCGGCCCGGCGCGCGCTATTTCCATTCGCTGCGGCTGCTGCAAAAGGTCAAGGAGCTCGACCCGGCGATGTTCACCAAGTCGGGCATCATGGTCGGCCTGGGCGAGGACCGGCAGTCGGTCCTGCAGGTGATGGACGACATGCGCGCGGCGGACGTGGATTTCATCACCATCGGCCAGTACCTGCAGCCGACGCCCAAGCACCACCGGGTGGCAAGCTTCGTCACTCCGGAAGAATTCGCCAGCTATGAAAAGGCCGCCTATGGCAAGGGCTTCCTGATGGTGTCCGCGACGCCGCTGACGCGGTCGTCCTATCACGCGGGCGACGATTTCGCCGCCTTGCGCGAAGCGCGACTGAAGAAGCTGGGCCGGGCCTGAGCGCGGGCTCTTGCAAATTCCCGCCCGGGGTCTTAGGCGAGATGCGACGGGCCCGCAGGGGCGCGCTTGGGGGTTTGGCGGAATGGTAGACGCGGCAGACTCAAAATCTGCTTCCTAACGGAGTATCGGTTCGAGTCCGATAACCCCTACCAAGAAACGGCCCGTCGCACGGCGGGCCTTGTTTCACACAGCGATGTGCCGATGGCCAATATGCGAGTTCGGGGCTGCGCGCGGGAACAGATCGCGGGCCGATGATCCGCTATAGTCCCGGGACGGACGGGGATCGCGCGGCTTTCGGCCGCTGGCACGCCGGGTTGACGATCTCCTGCCGCGCGCCTTGCCCGATAAGCCGCTGCATCACCTGCGCGACATCGGGGCAGTCTTGCAGATTCTGCAGGGCGGTCAGCCCGACCTGCGCCTGGGGCGGCGAAAGATGCTGTGTCGCGTTGTCCAGGAACTTGCGCGCGACGAAATCCTGCGGCAACGGGTTCCTGAGGCTGCCCGGCGGGTAACAGATCAACGGCGGCGAAAGCAGCCTGCCGTCGCGCAAGAGCAGGCTGACGCGGCCGGCCGGGCGGCGGTGCTCGCGCATCTGGGTGTCGGCCTCGGCATTGGCCTCGCCCTCGACCCGCGCCGCCAGGGCCAGCAGCGCCGGATCGCCCAGCCGCCCGTCGTCATACCATCGCGCGGGCGGGATGGCGTGCAGCATGGCGGCGATGGCATAGGGCAACGAGAATTGCGCATCGACCATGGTCAACGGACGCGCATCCATGAAGTCGCGCAGCAGCCCCTCGGCCGCGTGGACGGTGACGCGCGCGACGTTGCCGGCGCCAAGGGGGTGGTCTTGGGCAAGCGCCGCCAGCGACGCCAGGCTGCAATGCATCCAGCGGCAGGTCGGCCAGGGCTTGATCGTCGCCATGTCCAGCGACCAGCTGCGGCCCAGGCCCTGGGTCAGCAGTTCGGGCGCATAGCGGTCCGAGCCGAGCATCCGCCACAGCCCCGTGTCGCCGTCCAGCACGTCGGCCGCGCCGGTCAGGCCGCCCTGGTGCAGCCGCACGGCCCGCACGGCCGATTCCGCAGCGGGGGCCACGAAGTCCTTGAACGACACCAGCGGCCGGCTGTCCCAATTGTATTTCCGCAAGCTGGGCAGATTGGCGAGGGTGCCGGCGAACCCCAGCGCATTGGCCATGCCCGCCGCGTCCAGGTCCTGCAGGCGCCCGAAGGCCACGGCGCCGCCGATGCCCTGATGCTGGCAGACGCCATAGACCTGCCGGAAGCGCGCGAGTCCCGGCTGGATGGCACGGATCAGCCGGGCGTTCACCTCATAGCCCGCCACCACGGCCGTCAGGAAATCGCGGCCGCTGACCGGACGCAGAAAGGCCGCGGACAGCGCCGCCGCGATGATCGTCGCACCGGGATGGCCCAGGCCCTTGCCGTCCTCTTCCAGCCCGTCGTCGAAATCCAGCGCGTTGATCGCCATGGCATTGGCGAAGGCGGCAGAGGCCGGCCCCAGCGAGGCCGCACCGCCCAGCACCGGGCAGGGACCGGGGCCGGCCTCCTGGGCCAGCACCGCCAGGAACTGCCGTGAAAGCGTGCTGCCGGCGCCGGCCAGCCCGCATCCCAGCGCGTCGATCACATGATCCAGCGCCTTGCGCCAGACGGGTTCCGGAATGTCCTCGAAGCGCAGCCCGGCGGCAAAGCCGGCGATCGCGGCGGTTTCGCCCATGGTCAGAACCCGAAGGCGGTGAAGCGCGACAGGAACTCGCGGGTGCGCTCCTCGCGCGGGGCTTTCAGCACCTGCGCGGGCGGGCCCTCCTCGTGGATGCGGCCCTGATGCAGGAACAGCACCCGGGTCGCGAAATGATAGGCAAAGCCCAGCTCATGCGTCACCAGCAGCATGGTGCGCCCCTCTCTGGACAGATCAAGGATCACGTCCAGCACCTCGCCCACCAGTTCGGGATCAAGGCTGGAGGTCGGCTCGTCGAACAGCAGGACCTCGGGCTCCATCGTCAGAGCACGGGCGATGGCGACGCGCTGCTGCTGGCCGCGACGTAGGGCGATGGATCGAGCGGCTGAGGACTTCGCGCGCGATGACCTTGCTCGACAAGGTTGCCCGCGCCGAACAGGTTGAGGGGCGGCTTAGGATCCGGGACACTGTTAGGCGTCAGGACGACACTCTGGCCCCAGTGTGCCCGCATCGGCATCACCCGGGAGGCTGGGCGTCGGGCTCCCTCAAGATCCAGCCGCTCAAGAGCCTACGCCGAACCGCCTGTCCTGCGGATCGAGCGGCAGCGGGGCGGCACAGCAGCGAAGCTCTGTCGCCGGCGTCGGCAAGCGACGGCGTCTCAGGGCAGCGATGCGGGCCTGAACTGCCGTTGATCCGGGCAGGCGGCTGTGCTTTGGAAAGCGTGCCGCGTCACTGGAGCAGTCATGACATCATCCCTGTCCGCCCCGCCCCATGCTGTCCAGACACGGCCACCCATTCCCGCGACTGTCTGGATGCTGGGGATCGTCAGCCTGCTGATGGACGTCTCGTCCGAGATGATCAACGCCCTGCTGCCGCTTTATCTTGCCGGCGGGCTGGGTGCCTCGGCCCTGGCGATCGGCTTCATCGAGGGCCTGTCGGTCGCGATTGCCACGGTCACCAAATTCCTGTCAGGCGTCTTGTCCGACATCGGCGGGCGGGCAAAGCCCCTTGCGGTGCTGGGCTATGGCTTGGGTGCCTTGTCGCGGTTGATCTTTCCCTGGGCCGCAAGTCTCGACCAGATCGTGTTGGCGAAAGCCATGGATCGGGTCGGCAAGGGCATCCGGGGCACGCCACGCGACGCCATTGTCGCCTCCGTAAGCCCGCCGGAGATCCGTGGGGCAAGCTTCGGCCTGCGCAAGTCGCTGGATACCGTGGGCGGCTTTGCTGGTCCGCTGATTGCGATCGGCGCGATGGGCCTTCTGGCGGGCGATATCCGGGCAGTGTTCTGGATTGCTGCCATTCCTGCTGCGCTTTGCATGATCGTGCTGGTCTTCTTCGTGCATGAGCCGCCGGGGAACCGTTCGATGACACGCGTAAGCATCCGCTTCGCCGACGCGTTCCGGCTGAATCGGGCAGTCTGGGGCGTGATCGGACTGGCCTCGATCATCATGCTGGCCCGTTTCAGCGAAGCCTTCGTGCTGCTGAAGTCGCTGGAGGCAGGCTTTACCCCCGTATGGGTTCCCCTGTCGCTGGTCATCATGCACGCCGCTTACGGCCTGACGGCATTTCCTGCAGGCAGACTGTCGGATCGGATCGGGACATCGGGCTTGCTCGTTTGCAGCCTGGGTTTTCTGATTGCCGCCCACCTGACGCTCGCATCTGCCGCGACGGTCTGGGTTTATGTCCTCGGCACGGTGCTTTGGGGATTGCACATGGGGTTCTCGCAAGGACTGCTTGGCGCAATGATTGCCAGGGTCACGCCCGACCATCAAAAGGGCAGCGCATTTGGCACGTTCAATCTGGTGACGGGCGTGGTCGTGCTGGCGGGAAACACCCTTGCCGGGTGGCTGTGGCACAGTGCGGGATCCACGGCGCCCTTTCTTGTCGGGGCCGCGCTGGCGACCGTCGCGACAATCGGCATTGCATCAGGCGCATCCCAATCCAAGCAAGGCTGATCCGCAGCCAATGGGCTCAAACTTCAGTTCTCGGTCCCGGCTTTCCGCATCAAGGAACGCCGAACCATCAAACTGCGCTTCTGCGGACAGTCGCATCCAGAATCAAAGGCAGCAGCCCGCCTTTCGACAGCGTCTCGATCTCCAGGCTGGTCTCGATCGCAGTGACTGCCTGAAAGCGCGTCGCCGTCCGGTCGGCACGGTGAACGGCAACATCCACCAGGCCCCGGGGTTTCAACGTTCCAGGGTCGAGGTCGAGGGCGACCCGGTCGCTGACCGTCAGCCGCAACGCCTCGGGCGTCAGCCCCGCGGGAAGAACCCGTGGCACGATGCCCATTCCGATCAGATTGGCGCGATGAATGCGTTCGAAACTAACCGCCAGCACGGCACGCACCCCCAGCAAGGCCGCGCCCTTTGCCGCCCAATCGCGCGACGATCCCATGCCGTATCGCTCGCCGGCGACGATGATGACGGGCTGCTGTTCGCGGCGAAATTGGTCGGCGGCGCGCCAAAGCGGCAGGACTTGGCCATCACCGGTGATGGTGCTGCCGGGCGGAATGCCCGGCGCAAGCAGATTGTGCACGGAATTGTTGGTGAACAGGCCGCGCAGCATGACCTTCCAGTTGCCGCGCCTGGACGAGAATACGTTCAGGTCATGCGCGCTTTCGCCTTGCGCAATCAGGTATTCCGCAGCCTCGCCCCCGGCCGGGATCGCGCCTGCGGGTGAAATGTGGTCGGTGGTCACGTCGTCGCCCAGCGACAGGATCGGCACCGCGCTGATCCGATGCGGCCGGGGGCGGGGGAAATCCGCGAACGGCGGGCGGCGGATGTAGGTCGAGGATGGATCCCAGGGAAACAGTGGCCTGTCCGGCGCATCGAGATCGCGCCAAAGCCGGCTCGCCTCGGCGCGATCGTAGGCGGCGGCGTAGTCGTCCGGGTCGGCTGCCTTGGCCAGCGCGGCGTCGATCTCGGCGCCTGAAGGCCAGAGGTCGGCCAGGTGGACACCCGGCGCGATCTGGTCGCGCAGGATGTCACGCTCGACATCGCCCGCCAGGGCAAAGGCCACCACCAGGGCGGCGAGGCCAGAAAGCCGGCCGCAAGCTGCGGATGCACACGGCCTGGGAAGTTTCGGTTGCCTGACAGGACCGCGACCTGCAGCCGGCCCGCCGCCTGCGCTTGGATCGCGCTGTCGGGCAGCGGGCCGGAATTGCCGATGCAGGTGGTGCAGCCAAAGCCAACGATGCCAAAGCCCACGGCCTCGAGATCCGCAAGCAGCCCGGCGCGTTCCAGATAGCGCTGCGCGGCGGGCGAGCCGGGCGCGAGCGAGGTTTTCACATGCGCGGGCGGCTTCAGCCCCAGCGCGCGGGCCTTGCGCGCAAGCAGCCCGGCCGCCACCAGCAGCCGGGGATCGCTGGTGTTGGTGCAACTGGTGATGGCGGCGATGGCCACGGCGCCGTCCGGGGCCTCGCCCGGCGGCGCGGGCATGGGCGAACCGCGCAAGGCGTGGGTC